GCCACCCAGCTTGCTGTTAATCCTGCTTCGAAAGGCAGAACAGCAGCCCCACCACCTCTGGGATGAATCCATCCCATCACACCAGCCCACGTGGGAGGAACAGCACTCACACGCTGAACCTTTCCTCAACATCCAACCCCAAACCGAGGGTTTGGACCCTCACTGCACCCCTCTCCAGGGTGCCCATGAGGACCTCGGCCCCAGCCTGAGGGACAGCTTCTGCAGAAGGCCAGCACAGTTCAGCCCAGTAATTAAAAACTGGGGAGCTGCTTTAATAGCACTCAGCAGTTTTCATCCAGGAGTAGGCAATCTGCTTAAGAAAGCTCAGAAAATCACAAGCACTGAAGTAAATTTGAAGAAGCACCCAATAACCACCTGCACCTCTTAGCCAAGGACCAAACTCTCAGGTTTCTGGCTGAAGGTTTGTCCTGCCAAAGAACTGCCAAGATCTGTAAACAGCACCAGAATTGGCCTGCAGATCTGCACTGTGTAAAACTACTTTGTTGGGCAAAGGAGGAGAACAACCAGATGCCATCCACCTGGAGTCCATGCCCAGGAATGGCATTGGAGGAACCCAACCTTGAGCGAGGTGCAATGGACAACAGGTCACCAAACCCAAATATGAAGTACAGGTACATCCTGAAGAAGGGTCATGGCATTAATAGCCTCTAAGAAAAAAAAAACCCCAAGCAGCCATCACAGGAAAGAGTGGGAGGAAGGAGGGAAAGAGAAAATAAAAAAGGTGTTTAAATGCACTCCCAGCCAGCACAAAGCCATTAGTCACAGCCCACCTTCCAGGTGCACACTGATGGCACATACACTTTTATTAAACGCTCTCACAAATTTGTGAGGATTAATTTTAAAACACCTGTTTGCAAAGGGAAATATATGTTTTTGAGCTGCCGTGCAGTACAAGACAGTTGTTAAAAGTCTGGAGAGAATGCAGTTTTATGACGTTGTTTAATATTGTGTCCAAAGATGCCTTCCGTGCAGTGAGCAGGTTTCTCCCTCCCCCTCCCAGTCTTGCAATCCAGAGCTCAGAAGAAAAAGCTCTTCTTTATGCAAAATGAGAATGTATATAAAACTCTTAGGTATAGTATTAACATATTTAAATTATCGTAAAAATAAATGGTGCACCAAAACCTTCCCTGGCTTTTTTTTTTTTTCCTTAAAAAATAGTTATGGATATTATTCTCAGAGAAATGTCTTACGTGTGGGCATGCTAAGAATTCATGATTTCATTGCACAGCAGAGAATATGCGAGTTTTATGTGTGATTCACAAAGAAAATTAGGTGTGAAAGTGGGATAAGTACTGGGATGTACAGTAGATAGCTACCTCGGAGGCAAGATTTACATACAGATATTTGTATTGTGTTATGGAACGTACTTATTGTAACCATAAAAATTATTTGTACATCGATTTCCGTGGAGTCAAATTTTAAATACATAAAAGGTAGTTAATTCTTCCAAATGAGTTTTTAAAAAACTACCAAGGGGACCTGAAGCAGCAGAGAACATAGAGACGAGTCCCATCACACAATGCACCAAATGCTAACCAGAAATTTACAGTAAATGGAAACCAGAAATCTCCATTAAGAGCACTACACAGAGCAGAATCAATGTAATCAGACTCCACTGTCTGAAAAACATATTTTACATATTGCTCTCCAATTTCTAGAAAATGATTTTGCAGCAAAGGAGAAAGCACAGAATTACAAAAACAAGATGAGATGCTCTGAGCTCAGTTGTTGCATATTTTTATCTGTGGTCATTTAAATGCACAAGAAATCCACTGAAAGTTATTCAGATTTAGACACGGCAGAAAAACAAGACCCACAAGCTATTGGCTGCAATGGCATTCCATCTAAATACAGTTCTAACAAAGGTCTGTCTTCCTTTGCCATCTTCTCACGCTCTTCCCTATATTGATAATTATTAATAATCACATTGGGTCCTCACAGAGTGCCTGACACTCTCAGGCAGCAAATCATTTTTAATGGAGAGCAAAATAGGGAAACTGAGGGCCAGCTGGATTAACTATTTTGCCCAAGGTCACAAGCAGGTCCATTTGTCGGTGGGAACAGAAATTAGACTCGGCCTCTATCACTTCAGCAACACTGTCAAACACCAGCAGATACATTACAGAGCAGGAACACAGCCCCAGCTGGGACACCCCAAATCCCTGCCCGAGGCCCCCACTCCATTGGAGGAAATACATGAAGAATTAATTCCATTTTCCAGCCAAGCCGACAGACAAACTTACCTTACCAAATCCAGGGAATCCCACTGACAACAGCTCTCAGCATAGGACTTCACTTAAATTAAAGCAATAATTAACTCGTGTTATGCTCTCATCCAGGCTGGGTACCTGGCTTGCTTCTGACAGGTGTAGAGATGAGGGTTGCTGAAGTTCTCAGTGAAGGATGGCAGATATCTGAAATGATGTGAGAACTAGAGTCAGGATTTCACCTTAAACCCAGGACAAAATCTTGCCCCAGCTGACTGCTGGGCTCAACACCACCTGCTTCAGCCTCCCACAGCCCACTGATTAAGGCCAGGAATTTACCTTCCACTTGACTGAAGTGGCACAGAATCACCCTACATGCTTGCAACAGCATTGAATGTTTCATAGCAACACAACTTCAATGGCTTGTAAGAGGATTAAGGAAGAACCTTTCCCCCTACCATTTCAAGAGCTACTAGGAGCACCATTTCTCTCACCCCAAACATTGATCCCCATAAAGACAGATATTTTCCTGTTTGCAAAGAGCAGATAATTCTGTACACAAATCCACCCCTCAAGATTTGGGACTGCATGCCCAACAGCTGTGTCAAGGCAGGCAGTTCTGTTTTATTCCTTAAGCAGGCTGTAGCAACCAGCAAGCCTCCCTCCAACACTGCTCATCATTGTTGATACAGTCCTTACACTCACCCCTTCCCGAAGCTTAAGGCTAGTAAAACAACTCAGGTGTCAGATAGCCATTCCTAATAGCTTTGCACCAGCTGTATCTACTCACCCTAAATGAAGCATCTGTCTACTCAGTTTCTTAACAAGTTTTTTAAAAGCTACTCAATAGTATTAGCAGGACTGCTCTGCTAGATGGTACCTTATGTGAAAAATTACCTACCGATGTTACCACTGTTCTGAAAGAGTTTCATTTGTTCAGTTGTTTTTTGTTGTTTTGATTTTTTTTAAAGTGTAACAAATATGCTTACCTATGATGTGTAATTTTATCAGAAAACCCAATAAAAAGATAGTAAAGAAGCAAAGTTAGCTATTAGATAGCAGTCCTTGCTGCCAAAAGCCATAATCTGACACAGATTGAGCCTGGTACAGTAGTCAATTAATGGCTCAGTGCTCATACAATAATGACCTACTAACCTGACGGTGTGTTGCTCTCACATTTTGCTATCCCCTGGGATGCTACTGTCACTGTGTTATCTATTGCCTGCTTCCCTATCAAAGAAAATAAGCAGAGCTGAAATGTATGTACGCATCAAGCTCTGTAGTTCATTGCACACCAACCCCAGCAACTGGAGGAACAATAGATTTATAAGTTTATCCTACATTAAACCAAACATGCCTGACTGCACTGTAAATTACTAAATAATAAACCAGGTGGTGTAAGATCCTGACTTGGACAGAATATAAAAATCTATCAACCTGTAAAATACAATAACCATAAACGTGCTATGTAGCTGATGGCTCAGGTAAACCACCCACTCCAGCAACAGAGGATTTTCGGGAGTAAATTGCAACAAAAGGTTTACTAAATTTAGGTCCTGAGCACTTTTTCATTTCGTGCAACACCATCAGTTGGAGAAATATAATTGAGCTAAAAACAGTGGCAAACGTGTTTGTTTTGCTTACATTTCTTTGTCTCTAATGGAGCTATTTCATGGTAATGTGCTATGTTTCCTAGCATATTGCCACAGGCATTTAGTCTGATCTCTAAAGAGAAGATGAACTACTGCACAAGGGCATACTTCTTCAGTATTCAAACCTAACATTCAAATTAGAGTGAAGTAGTGCGGTAGGTAGCAAATGGAGAAAGCTGAAAGGTCAGGGCATCAGCTTCCTTTGAATGGACTCAGTCTTGATTTTAAAATAAACCCGCAGCAATCCTGGCAACGCAATAAAATATTTTACATGCCATTGTACACACCATTAGTTCTGCCCCAAATTATAGTGGAGCTTTTTAATAAGTGCTACCTTTGCCACCAAAATTAATTGCTATGAATCAGAGAAAATATTATATCAAGACATTCAAAAATGATTCAATACATTAGAATTCCAAAATCTACAATTCTAATTAATTCCATTTTAGGAGCTTTCCAATAAGCAAAGCAGGTTAAATTTATATGATTTACAAACAGTGTTTACATTCATAGAGGGACAACTAATTGCTGCGCGGCTTGACATCATTACAGGAAAATGCTGGGGGATGCAGACAGTTTAATTAGGGGTGGCTTTAGGTTCACAATGTGACTGCTATCATGGTGCTTTGCTAATGTGCTTATATAGGATGATCATACAGTAACATGATTATGGGTTTTCTTTCTGAACGCTTTCTCTTCACAACAGAAAATACCATAATTTTTGTATACCAGCAAGCTGATGCTGTATGTATTTCTCTCTCAATTTTATTTGCTTGCTTTACTGACCATGAAGAAGTGATTCTTAACCTAACAAAGTGCCTATTCCATTGCAGATACATGCAGTTTGCTGAGATCTGAGCAAAACTCACACGAATTCAGTGCTAATCTGTCCCAACCTCTCCATTTACTATTCAGCACTGAAGGCTCCCACTGAAACTAAAGGGATTCACACCCCACAAACAGATCTCATTGCTTGACTGGATCAAGCCTTATGAGAGACACAAAAATCATCTAATGCAGGCTGTGTTGGGGCTGAGGAGGAAACCAGCCCCTGGGAGCACCTAAACATCAGCAGACATTCAAAAATATTCAATTATAACAATATCAGCAGGAAAACACATGACAGGCAGCAAAGTCCGCACATCTATCTGCTCAGGGTTGGAGTAAAGGCTGATGTTGCAACTCAGCTTCACCAGAGAGCATTTTGCTCTTGATGTAGTAGGGACACATCAGCTATGTAAACTTGACACTGAAATATTCTGATCATATAATTATGAGGCATCTCCATCACATTTTTTTCCCCCACTGTTTGATGCATTGCTGGACAAGGGAATTACTCTCCTGGAGCAGCCCCCTCTGCAGCATTTGTACTCTGCCACAGTAGATAAGAATTAGCAGCAGTCTTCTCAGTACTCAGAGCTGAAATATGCAATACATCCCATCCAAGCAGTGTAAGATTTCCTCCCCCTCTCTATTTTTTTTTTTTTAGTTGTTGTTTTTTAATACCCATCATAGCTCCAAACCAACTCCCATGCTAATGTTGATCCATTGAACAACAGCTTCTCTCCAGGTTGGAGCATCTGACATCAGCAGCACTGGGCATTTGTCACTACTACAGTCAGCCTTTTTATATTTTGTAAGCGAAGTCACTGGAACAGTTATAGAAGGAGACTGAAAACTATAGATTTCCATTTTATGGCAAGAAGAAATACAATTTCAAACATGTGGAAAAAGAATTGTCTTTGAAAAAGGCCTTGAGCTCTGTACACACGACACCAGACAGCGTCCATGGAAAGTTTTTCTCTGCTAGTTAGAAATTTAAGTAATTCTCTAGAAATGCATTTTTGGTACACAACTTCAAGCTACAGCATCTGGCAACAGGAAAGTTGCTATGGCCTATTTATCTTTAATTATTTTTATGCACCATTATTGTGGCATCTGGACTCAATGCAAAGATTAAATGTAGCAATGCAATAAATTAAATTGCTTATAGAAGAAAATGCTAAGTGTTACTACCCCACAACACCCTGGCCAATAACAAAAGGCACAAGACCTCTCAACACACAACAGCCAGAGACAGGGACAAAGCCAAGAGCATTACACCACATGCATGAGATGAGTGCACCTGGAACCAAGAACCAAACCAGAGGTATCTGGGGCATGAAGGACCCTATGAGATTTCTCCTTCAGAACAGCCAACTTCCTAGTCAGCATTCCTGTTTGAGCTGCAGAAGTGATGAATGCATGACAAGATAACAGCTTGGATCACGCTGGGAAACAGGGACTACAAATATTTTCCATTGCTCAGTAGCATGGACTTGTGGGCAACCTAACAGCAGTGATAAGATGTATATTTTATTCCTTTGCATATATGACTGTTTATTGGTTTCACATGCTATGCTTTAAGAAATTGCTGAGATCGCTATGTGTCTTTTAATAGATTTTGACTCCAGAGACAAACAAGTTGAGGGCTGTCATCATCACAACGCCTGCTGTCATCGTGCCATCTTCTTAACCTAATGTAAGGAAATTCATATTTAGTGAACAAGGAAATTACTTTGGGTATGTATCATTCAAATCCTTAAGGATTATTGTCTAATTAGGAGCACAGTAATGTAAATTTGCCTTGTGTCAGGTTTTCAGGAACAGTAAAATAACATAATTAAGCAGTGAACAAAGTAGATCATTTAAGCTCCTCTTCACTGACAAATGTATATGACGTCTAAATATACCATGGGTTTCCAAACCAGGAACTAATGAGAACTGACTGTACTTGCAGAAAGTCTAAACCAATGATTTAAAGGAATAATCAACCAAGGAAGTCCAGAGTACACAGCTCCAATTCATGCTCAGTGGATTAGGAGCAGGAAGGCAACGCTCTCTGATCTCTCTGGCTCGTGGACATATTGCTGCAAAGCCACAAGAGCAGAGATGCCCTGGCACCCTCCTGCTCAGCATGACTACAGCCAATAAATGCATGCAGTTGCAGCAAAACCTGACAGAAATGCAGAATAAAACTATGCAAGTTTTTAGCCTATACGTTTTGGGTACTTATCACCTTTCTGGTTTGATTCCCTTTCTGCTGGATACTGGCTTTGCGCGCTATGCTCTATCGGGGTGTTGTGTTCCACAGCACGACTCCTTTCTTACATTTCATTCTGTCTAAAATCAGCACCTGTATGGTATTAGTTATGCTGGGAGAGTGACATACACTGGAGAATGAAGTGACACTAGTCAGTGGAGGACCTCAATTCTTGGTACATCCAGCCCAGCAGTGATCTGGTAGCTCTCAGATGACCATTACAAGGCTGAACACAAATGACAGAGCAGAATTCTCCTCAACCACTTCAACATGACTTTCTTGAACTGCTGGTGTGTGGTGTCTGGACCTCAGCACAGCAGCAAAGGATGGCTGAGCATCTCATAAAAGAGTGGGAACAACCAGAAGTATATCCTGAACCTGGTTCTCCAGGTTCTTAGAGCAAGGTTAATGACAGTGTGGCCATTCCCAAACCAGGCAGTGGATCTCATCCAAAAAAGCCCTCAGACAAGGACTGCATTCTGCTCTCCACCATCTGATTAATTTGATGTTTCTGGACACAGATGTGCTTCCCAGTCGAGGCTGATGCCAATGTCACCATATTGTGAAGCAGCATTTGGATGGTGCTCTCTCTCTGCTCGGTGCTTGTCCAGGACCACAAGCTCCAAAGCACAGGGCAGTTCCCACCACACTACTGAAACCACTGCCCACAGTTCCCACTTATCCAGTATGTGTATTTCTTACTTCTGCAAATTACCACAACAACAGCATCCTACTGCACAGTTGGCTATCAGGGTTGTCCTAGTTGAAGTTTGAAGGATGCCAATGCTCAAGCCACCAAGAAAAGCCTACATCCTAAATACTGTACCTCTGCTGACTACAGAAAACTCTCAATTAAAAGTGTTCAAACTCACTACTCCTCAGATTGCAAGGGCATACAATTTACTTCTGGTTTCTATGCCAGAGTTTGCAATTACATTGAATAAGTCATTTACAACTGTCTTCTAATCAACGAGATAATACATAGAGTAAGTGTTTCAGAGCAATTAAATCTTTTTTTTCTACCATTAACTAAAAAAAGGTTATTTTGCAGCCTCTTTGTGCTGAAATGTAACAGCATAAATATAGTGCTTTGTTATCAGTTTAAAAATTGAAACCTCTGTGCGTCTTTTTTCCTTCTGGATTCAAGTTAAGTAGAATTGCCTTTCATGAGAAATGCTTGCAAATTATCAAAGACTTCTTTTTAAACAAGCTAAGAGAGTACAGTAGCAAATGTGCTCCTTGCAAAGTAATTGGAATTTCTATCTAAATTATTCTTGGACAAATTAACAGTGCCAAATATAAGCCAATTTTTACTGGTAAGAATTCTATTATAGTTTGTAATAAAGAAAACTGAAAGACATGCCACAAAATCCTTGGGAAAGTGAAAAGTATTTTAGGAATAAGATGGAGGGCACTCAGTCTCCTAGGATGCTTATTAAAAACTACTTTCAATGAGGTCATTAGGAAAAAAATTGTCAAGTAAGCAGACCAAAAATTACCTCTCAGGCTGATCAGTATATCACAGAATTAGTGCTTTCCTCCTTTAGAAGTAACATCCAACGGATGGATTTGTCACCATGGATTATGACTATTTGGATTTCACACACACTAACTTTTTAATATTAATTTTTATGCAAAAAGGAAAATAATTTTGTAGCTGAAACCTCCACCCTTCTTCCTGGCTCCTAATTCAGCCACAAATAAAAGTGCTGTTGTCACCCCAAAATGAAGTCATTTTTACCCTCTGTGCCTAATCGCAGAAAGTGCCAGTAAAATAAATCAGGGAGAAGTAAAAGTAAAATTTGCAATAACCCGATACTACTGCCTCATCCTCCCACATCTCAGGACATAAAACTTACTGTCAGAAGAACTCACAGCATGAGAATTAATCAAGGAACTCTTAAAATACTCCAAGCACCTTCCTTCTGATGACTAATTTGCCTTTCCTATTGCAAACTACTAATTTTTTATCTCAATCGATATGTACAAATATACCTCCCCATCAATCATGGGAGGCAAGGACAAGCTTGCACTATTTATGTAATACTGACTGCAAGATGAAACAAAAATTAACCACAGCCAACCTGGGGCCACAGGGGGGCTGGAGAGGAGAATCAGGGAGTGGATGGGGGGAGCAGCACCATGGGGAACCTGGAGGTTCATGGCAGCTGGTGGGAGCAGAAAGCTTCAGTAGGCAGCACAGCAAAGAGAGGTGGATGAAACTGGGGGGAGTAATTTTCCTTAAAACACAAAGAAAAAAAAAAAACAACACAGCTGGACAAAGAGGAAATCAATGGACACGAACACCAGAGAAGGCCACTGTATTGGCTGCCGTCAGATCTACCCGGATCTGCTCATAGGTCTGAGCAAAATGTGGACATGACTGATTTAAGGCATGCACGTATTGGCTTACAAGCTGTGCTCCTACACAGCACACATAAAACTTCTGTGTTCTTATTGCCATTGTGTCACTTCAAGGGCACAGAAGCAGAGTTCTTCATGCTAAATGGCTGCAAACAAAACATACTAGGAAAGGCAGAAGTGGTCACAAGTCTCAGTTTCCACTCCCCACAGATGCTCACTAATTGATTACAGTTTGTAAAAACTAAGCAAAGAAGGAGCATTAACAGCCCAACAGCATTCTGAACTAGACTTCATTGTTTCCACCTAATCTCTCCATGCTCATGGTGCTTCTGCCTGGACCACACAGTTCTGCCCTGTGTGCTTGCCAAGAAACAAGGTCAGGGCAGCCCTGGAGTCCAATGTTTGGGGAAAAAAGTGACCTGAAAACAAAATGGCAACACAAAGCAGCAAAACCACGTCTCATAAGTTACTAGCTGAATAGAAAAAGGTGGCTATGGCAGTGCCTTCTAGCAGAATACAAACTCTATAAAGCGATCGCACATAAAAAGAACAAAAATTTGCTCACCTCTTCTGATGACTGGTAACAGCCCAAGAGGAATACAATCTCAATCCAAAAAGAAATGACTCCTTCAGCTGCTAACCCTTAGATGGGGAAAAGGAGGGGTGGATCCAGGCTCCACTCCTTCTGATCACTCAGATGTATTGCTTGCACCTGAGTTCCCTGGGTTAGCAACGCTTTCTCACCTGGTGCTCGCTCATTGCTTCCAGCTGTGACTTGGCACTGCACCAATCATGGACTCAGAACAGAAGAACTTTGAATTTTCGGTCTGCAGTTTTGGGGAGCAGGGAGGATCTGTATTTTAGTGACAAAAATGTATCAACGACTTCGTTGCTAATCTAAAACCATGTTTTTAGCATGAATTCACTCATCGTTCCAAATCAACATATTTGGAGTTGGATTTGATGATCCTTATGGGTCCCTTCCAACTTGGGATGCTCTGCGATTCTATGACTCTATACATCCTGGAGCTGTTTGACAGAACATAGCAGCAGACACGGAAGGATGGCCAGTAGCCCAAAATAAGGAGATACAGGCGACAAGGATCTGCTTGTGCTTTAGATGCAGTTAGTTTTGTAGGACTGCACATGGGAGAAAGTCCCGTTATTAAGGTTATAGATGTGCTTAATTATCTTGATGAAATATGGTCCAATTTGTTAATTTAAGTGAGAGAAGTAGTAAATCATGTCAAACATTATGGCACCACGGCACTGCTTCTGAGCAAACTTGGTTTCATGCAAAATGAAAAAATTAATTTCAGTGGTGAGGACTCTTACTCTCCTCCTCCTGTGACATTTGCACACATTTTTCTCCCCTGGAAAAAAGCACAGGCAGCACAATAGAAAAACAATAGAAGTCTTTTCAGGGAATAAACACTAACCCCAGTGAGACAGGGCAGACATATGCGTATAGATCTATACTAGTTTCAAAACCAGAAAGTGTATCTCCCTAAGCCTTTTGATGCTCATCAATTCAGTTCATTAAACCCTGGCTACAAATTTAACATCAGAGATGAGTTTTCATGTACAATGAAAAAACAAACAAAAAAACAATAAGAGCAGACAACCAAGAGAACCCTCCCACTGCGTCTCTTTGCCTCTCTATCACAAAAGGGCTTAAGGGATGCTACATTTGACTTCTGGTACTATGCATCAGATTGGTTTTATTAATTAAGACAAGGGACTTTATGGAATTTACCTTGAAAGAGCGCAAGAGGTACAGGGTTAGAATCCTTAAGAAGAATAGAAACAAAAAATGAAATGTAATGCAGTTGAAGATGTGTAGATATGTGGGTTATTATACGTGGCACCTACAAATGCCTCTTGCAAAACAACACACCCCTGCAGAAGCTTCTCCAGTTGGGAAATGTAATAAATGAATATTGTTGTAAAGTAGGAATGCTCTAAAATTAATAGCAACCTAATGAATGCTTCCATATTCAAATTATGCGGTTATCACTTATTTCAGAATAAAAAGAAATCATTGCAGATCACGTCGTACCTGAAACTGCTTGCAGGAAAGGACGAGTGGCACTGTAACAGAATGGTACTGCAACCAAAAGGGTTTGTGAATCAATTTCTATTTGCGGGGCTTCTTGTAAATTCTTTTTCAGATGTACAAAGTGGGGCAACAGCATTTAAAGAAACTGAGACAGGTAAGGTGAAAACTGCGATGCTCCATTGTCTGCATAGGTGCAGCTCCCTCCAGCCTGCTTGATTTTCTTTGCTGGGAGTTGCACAACACCAGGCTCCATGCCCATGGCCAGAGCACGCCTTGTGTGCTGGGAGCACGGCATTGCACAGCCCTTAGGACAGGTTAGGACAGGTGATGTTGGAAATCAGCCTGGCTGGAACTTGTAGATGGCTGTTTCTTGTTGTAGCTCTCAACGTGCTCTAAATGTTGCTGCTACAGCTGCTCTAGTGCCTTCTTGTGCAGCAAATATGAGCCTAGATGAGCTCTCAAAACGGAGATAAAAAGGAAAGCTCAACTAGCATAAGATGATGGGAAGCTGAGGAAGACCAACACGGACAAGTACTGCTAATTTAATATCTCACTGAAAGCTCTTCACTTTTTAAATGCTCAGAAGCAGCACAATTATTTTCAGAGGATGCTGCTTCAGAAAGTAGTACCTTGACTCAGTCTGATCTGTAAATGCCCCGCTCAAATTCTCATTCATGTACACAATATCAGACAGCATTGTGTCTTAAGATTATTAGGCTATGTTGAATATTAATTTCCCTCTGTGCTTACAAAATGACTAACTCAATCAGTGAATTTATTGGAGACATATTTAAGAAGGGGTATTTATGGATTAGGCACAGATTTTAGAAATGAAATGGGAGACAATCTAACAAATCTATCAGGAATAAGATCAACAACTTAAAGTTTAAACCAATCATCTTGAGTATATATTTGAACTTGGATATGCAGATGTGGTGCACAAGTCCCAATGGTTCAGCAATACACTCAAAGGATCAACAGCCCTATAGACAGCTAAATTACTCGGAAAGCCAGGGAATTTATCAAACATGAATTTCAAAGTGGATTCTAGCCTGCAGGAAAAAATGGAAGTGCCCATTAATGTACATACAAAATAAATGTTGTCTGCAAGCTCATTCAACTATTTATTTTTGACACAGAACTGGCTAAAGACTTTTAATTTACATAAAAAGGTACAAAGACTGTAACCCTTTTGATAGAAGAGAGGGGAATAAATATCACGGAAAAGAGTTTTTGTTTGTTTTCTAAAGATGCACTAACAACCTCGCAGGTACAACACAAAGGAATCATTTACGCTCCTTCACATCTATTAGTGCATTATTTATAACTAACTCCAATTTGAGAATGTTAGCATTAAATATGTTTCTCGCGTGTTGAGGAAATTCCTACAAACTGATCATATATTATGGATGAAAATTGTAACAGCTACCCTGCAACTTGTTAAAGCAGGCGTGTTGGAATTGAAGGAACACTGAAGCACGCGGTAGCCCTCGTGAAGTTCAGTGCTGCTTGGCTCCTTGCCTACGTATTTATCTTAGTGACCAAACAAACAAACAAACAAGTTAAATTCACCTCTTGTTGACAGATCATTTATCAAAAAAAATTGTTTTTAATAACAAAATATTTCACCGTCAAGACGAAATATATATATATATATTGAATCATCCACAGACCTTCCAGAACCTTGCATTGGCTATATGAAGGAAGGGACTCTGTATCATTTACATCAGAATTCATCATATATCATAAACATTTAATTCTATTAATTAAATATGTACTTCCTCCCTAAATGAAATAATCTTAAATCCTCCTAATGATTTTAAGATGTGGTCTCTTACACAATGTAAATGTGGCACAATTGGCCCCCAGGACAACACATGTCTCTTTCAGGAGATACTCATCAACCCCTTTGTCATTCTTGGGATTTTGACCTTCCTTCTTGGGACTCAGATATTTCTACAAGTCTCAGGCTACTTGAACCAAGATGCTATGCCTGTCTCTCCAATTTTACTAAGGTTTAAATTAAGTCCTTAACACTCATGGAATCAGAAAAGAGATTGCAAAATAAATGTCCTTCAGAATCAGAAAACTGATCAAGACGTAGTGTCTACTTTTAATAACATCAAATTTCTTTCTTCATTTTTAATGGCCTGTGGCTAACAATATTGTGTTTAATGAAAAGTGAATGGCACATCAGCATTTTTTATCAAATTAGAAATAAAACCTTCCTTTGAAAATCCTGTCCATCGGTCGAGAGCAGTGAAGACTGCACCATTGCATTCAGTGTCCCAGAGATCATGCACACACAAGAGCAAAGTGACTTCACAACGCAGCATTTAAGTTTTGCTAAGCAATGCTCAATGCAGTTGAAATACTCTGTTACTATTAACAATATTGCAATAATGCAAGTGGAATTGCATATAAAGCATGCCTGGGCAGCACACAGGGGCAAGGTGTGGGCAAACACAAGGCAGAGGGGACTGGAAGCTTTGAGACCATGTCAGCACAGCTGAGGTGCTACCCACAGATGGAGGTCATGCATAAGAAACATAAATGTAAAGATTAATTCCAATTCTGCAGCACATGCATCACTAAACTGCAATACCACGAAACAACCTGAATGTGAAAGCACATGTGTGTGTGCAGACCACTTTGCAAGACATCACAAGCTGCAGCTACGACATGCAAGAGAAATTATATCTGATTCTTTTTTTTTTTAAAGAACACACAGGGGCTCACATGATTTCTTCTATTTCCTCCTAAACAAGAGAATGTTTGCTTGCATGTTGAAGTTTTCAACATATTCAAAGACATTTGTATACAGGACCTAAGCCTGAGAAGAAATGTGTTATTACTTCATAATATATCGCACAAAATAAATGTTTGTTTAACTAAGCCCTCATGAACTTCACACATTAATCAAAATGGAATGCAGCATGATTTGTATGATTAACTCCAAAGTCACATTCAGAATGATAAATAAACTAATATTAACACTGTGTGCTCATTAATAATGCAAGTTTTAGATAGTTCACAAACACAACCGATACAGTTAATTGAAGGATCACATTTAAAAAATACTTTTAATTAGAGCTTCAGTGTTCCATTCATTTGAGATCCAAACTAGAAAAAGGCTGTTCCAAAATCTCTGCAGATCTGAGCCCATCGTTTCTAGCCACCAAAATCACGAAGCACTTGTCGAAACACAGAAGAAAGCAGTGATATTAGCATGCAAATAAACAGCACCATCTTTTCTTAAGGGAAGTCTTCTTTACTCAGGAAGTCCTATGTCAGCAAATACTCTGCCTTTGTCATCAGCTTCTGTGACACCCAGCCTTAAAACCTCTGTCCATAGCCTTAAAACCAGAACGTTTTCTATCTAAGAATCATTGTAGAACTGAACTGCAAGATGATATCAGGATCATCCAATCCTAACTCAGCATGACTGCTCTGATGTTGCTCTGTGCCACTCGGAGGTATATCCTCCTCCAAAAATTGGGAAATAAAATTAAGAATGTGGGGGCCATTCCTACCTCCCAGTGCCCACAAAAGGGCCACGGACCAGACGGGTGGTGGGGAAGATGCACAACAGCTTTTTCATCAGCAGCAGCCAAC